TCTCTGAAGATGCCAGAAGATTCCCTTAACATTTTGGCCAACATGAGATCTTCTCTGAAGACCTTATCTGAAGATGAGAAGAGATCTTCCCTGAAGAAGATGCATTTCTTTCTGCTTGGTCCATTCCCTTAACATTGTGGCCAAAATGAGGTCTTCTCTTGAACCCAGCATTTACATTTGATTTAATTTGATGAAAAACAATGAAGGAAATGCAGTTTCCTTACGATCAACAGAAATTGGCCATTTGATTGAAAACTTTGGAGGCAGAAGTCAGAAATGATTCTGTGTTATATTGAATCTCCAGGCCATTTGTGTCTATCACTCCACCAACTCATCCATCACGTACATTTAAGATTCTGGTCTGCTTCAGCAGAAGGCTTTGTATGTTCTTAACTTTGGGTGCCTGTCTTTTCAGGGACCCCAAGGCTCGCCAGGCCCACCAGGAATTTTGGGAGAAATTGGACATAAGGTAGGATATGATCTCCACCTCCTTCTCATTTTCCTACCGTTTCCTGGAATTTCCTGGAATCCACCCTGCTTTTGGGAATCCCCAAAACACGGAACTGAAGGAGATGCACCCTGTGTTAGAAAGTCATGGGGGAGGGCTGTTGAGGTAATTCCCCGTTAGGAGAATGAGCGCATACAGGGAGACGTATTTGAGAGTAGTGTTTGAATAATACACATACAGCGCACAGATACACTGTACAGTAAATGTAGGTTTTTTACTTCCAGACAGTTTAAGCAAAGTTCAAGATAAGCAGTCCAAAAGTCATTCACAGGTAAATCAGTCAGTTTTTTCAATCCAGGGATAATCCAAATATCAAAGTCTAGTGTGAAAAAACAGTTCAGTATCAGACTTACATTAAATCCAGTAATATCAGTCAATTAGAAGAAATGGAGGAACGGCAATACTTTCCAACAGAAGGAAACAGAGACAGAGACACGCTCTCTTCTGAGATTAAGACTAAAACAACCCAGGTTTCTGGCTCCATTTTATGGCCGTTTGAGAAACCACACCCAACTACAGTTTTGCATTTTCTTAAAGATACAGTTTTAAAATGTTTATCCTGGTTTATATATTTCTAACCCAAATAGCTGTTAGGTGACTCATATTCCTAACAAGGGCACAAGATGGTTGATATCAAGAACAGAAGACTTGACAGTTTTGTTATTCTGGAAATGAATGATTTGCTATCTATCTCTTTTTCTCTGGGTAAAAAAAGAAGCAACCTCATTGCTCCTTTCCAACATGTTCTGGGTTGGGTATTCTTCTATATTTATCTTTTCCCCCTCCTCCTTCAGGGACCTCCTGGCGAAGCCGGACAGCGAGGACTTCCGGGAGAACCTGGCATGAAGGTAAAGGAGAGAGAACTTCCTTTCTCTTTAGATGACCAAGACTCTTGCCTCGGTTATGCCAGCTGACACTGGATAGGTTGTGGTTGATGACCAAGGTCATGGCGGTATGAAGGCAGAGGAAGCGGTTTCAGCTTCATTTATGAGCCAAGATCTGATCCAAGAATTTGATCCTTTTTTGAGATATAGCAATAGCACTTGCACTTATATACCACTTCACAGTGCTTTACAGCCCTCTCTAAGAGGTTTACGGCGTCAGCCTTTTGCCCCAAACAATCTGAGTCCTCATTTTATGCACCCCGGAAGGATGGAAGGCCAAGTCAACCTTGAGGCTGGTGGGATTCGATCTGCCAAATTGCAGACAGCAGCAGAAGTAGCCTACAGTACTGCACTCTAACCACTGCGCCACCATGGCTTATAGATAGATAGATAGATAGATAGATAGATAGATAGATAGATAGATAGATAGATAGAT